TGATGGTCCTGAACTGACAAGATGACTGCTAAAGCTGGGTTAATGTTTCTTTTGCTGTCCAGAAGCTTTTTAGTTTGATGTAATCGCAGCTGTTCATCTTTTCCTTCACTTTCTTTGCCTTGGGAAATGTGTCTTTAAAGATGTTAGCGATGTCATGTATTTCTTTTGCCTATATTTTCTTCTACATATTTGTTTCAGGTCTTATGTCCAACCCTCTTATCCATTTTGTTTTTTGCACATGGTATATGAGGTAGTTAGTACAGCTTCATTCTTTTGCATGTAGCAGTCCAGTTTCCTCAGCACCATTTACTGAACAAACTGTTCTTGTTCCATTGCATATTCCTTGCTCTTTTGTCAAAGATTAGTTGTCCATTAATATGTGGGTTTATTTCTGGGTTTTCTATTCCATTCCATTGGCTTGTGTGTCTGTTTTTTGTTATTATACAGTGTCAATTATTATGGCTTTGTAGTATAGTTTGAACCTTGGAAGTGTGATACCTTCATTCTCCTTTGGCTATTCGAGGGTTTTTGTGGCCCCATATGAATTTCATCAATATTTGTTGTATTTCTTTGAAGAATGTCATTGAAATTTTTATTGGAATAGCATTGAATCTGTAAACTGCTTTTGGTAGGATGGCCATTTTGATGTTAATTCTTCCACTCCGTGAGCAGGGGATGCCTTTCCATTTCTGTGTGACTTCTATTTCTTTTAGCAATGCTTTATAATTTCTTTTGTATAGGTCCAAGCTGAGTTTTCTTCAAGTTCACTATGTTTAACTGAAAGAGAAGCTATGGGTTGCTCCCCTGCCACTGAGTCTGCCCCTCAGGCATGGTTGAGGGTTTGCATGTAACTTGGTACTGGAAAAAACAGGTGGGTTTTGGGGGTTGGGGGGGCGGGTGGCTCCAGGCAGCAAGTTTACAGATGCCAATGCCAACAGTTCTTACCTGAAGTTCTGGAAGTTTTTCAAAGATCAACAAATTTGAATGCGTTTGCTTTTGGTAATAATCAGAGTTCCCAAATGGTTGAATAATTTTAGTTTATACTTTCTTTTTGCAGGGAGGACTGGCTGACCTCTCCACCGCATCGCTATTGTTGATTAATAAATCTCTGACACACATACAAATTAAAGGATGACAGCAGAAGGAAAACTTCTTTCACTAAGTAAGTTGATGTTTGAAAAAAATAAGTGAAAAGACTCATAAAAAATGGTGAACTTCTCAAGTACCAACTTTGTAGAGAGACGATTTTTATCATCAATATTTTTCAACAGAAGAGCACATCAGCAAGTGCAGTCCTAAGGCAGGCTCATTTCATATACCTACCGGGTAGCAAGTTGACACAGATGTTTTTGGGAGATGACTTTGAAATGATTCAAGAAATGTTTGAAGATGATATATTCCATATATTTTCAAAAATAAAAAATCACCTCAGTGGTCCAGACTTGTAACTTTTCTCTCCACCTTCCCTTTCCCTCAGGGTGAGTGAAACAACCTTTACAGCATCACTCACAGCTGATGCTGGGGTCCCTAAATGCTCCTAATTCCATGGAGCTGCACGGGAGACCTGGATAAACTAACATTATTCTGACAGTTTTTTCTTTGAAAGAAACTGTGCTTTCCTATGCCATCTGGGATGGGCTTTGTTCCATGGAGATGTGTGCACTTGAGAACATACACACATTTCACATACACATGGCTCCCAGGCTTGAGATGACCCACCATTGTCAGAGGGAACTTCTCAAATTGTCCTGCTACAGATAAACGCCTCTGCTTTTCCCCGGACAGAATAATGTAGCTTGTGTTTTTAACAGAATCCCAGACTATCAAGGAAACACGTTTACCAAACTCCTAAAGTTCACAAATATTTTCAGTCATTAACATTTAATTTTTGAGCGTCAGGAACAATGAGTTCACCAAAGATAATTAGAGCTAAGAAGGAAAGTGTGCTTGTTTAAAAAAAAAAAAAATCACAGCTGAAAGCCATCACAGATAAATTGTCATTGTAGTGTAAATCATTAACTCCTCAACCCCAGAAGGGCTAAAAAACTGGTAACAGCATAGTAACAGCCAGGCAGAAAACCAACTTAGGGTTCAAATATTTGCCTCATGTGATCATTTATTAATACTAATTTTTCTTTATCTCCAAGACAAATATTGTTGCAATTATAACAGATTATTTACTGGATGTATTAAACTATGACAAAAGCAATAAAACCCTCAGGTCAGGGGTCTCCCTGGTGGCTGAAGGTTAAGTCTCAGTGCTATCACCGTGTGGCCAGAGTTCAACTACATGGCACAGACCTCTCCCATCTCCCTGCCGCTCCCCTCAGCAGTGTATATCAGTAGATCTGCTCCTCACTTTGTCTCTGGTAAATCCTTTCACCAGCACCTCCCCTTTCCCCGACCTCTGGCCTATACCCCAATTCTTCTATATAGAATCTTAAAAGGGAGTTACACGGGGATTACAATTGAGATTAAAAAAAAAAATGTGCAGGGCCCTCCCTGATGGCGCAGTGGGTTAAAGCACAGCACTAAAAAGCTAAAGCCACTACTGCATGAGTTCGATTCCCGCCTGCCCTGGAGGAGATCCACATGGCGTGGCAGACCTCTCCTGACCCACCTGCTGCTCCCCTCAGCAGTGTACTTCATCGATCTGCCTGTTCTGCTCCCCTCTCTGTCTCTGTGGAATCCTCTTACCTTCCACATCTCTGGCCTGTACCCCAGTTCCATATGAATAAATAAACCTTTAAAATAAATACTTTTAAAAAATGTACAAAATGATGTAAAAATAAACTGTTATATTATTAAAAAAAACAAAAACAAACTTGAGGCCCTTCCTGGTGGTCAGCGGGTTTAAAGCACAGCACTGAGAATCTAAAGCCACTACTGCATGAGTTCGATTCCCGCCTGCCCTGGAGGAGATCCACATGGCGTGGCAGACCTCTCCTGACCCACCCACCTGCTCCCCTCAGCAGTGTACTTCGTCGATCTGCCTGTTCTGCTCCCCACTCCGTCCCTGGTGAATCCTCTCACCCTCCGCATCTCTGGCCTGTACCCCACTTCTTATGAAAAAATAAATAAATCTTAAAAAAAAAAAAAAAACTTGAGAGAAAAAGGGAAGTTAGCTGAATCATTTCGTAAAAAACAGCATCTATTTACATGACTGAAGTGCCAAGAACAGGAAAACAAAGTTCAGGTTAATAACGCAACATGGATGGAGCTGGAAGGGATTATGCTCAGTGAAATAAACCAGAAGGAAAAAGAAAAATACTGGATGGTTTCACTCAAAGAAGGAATGTGGGAGAGCCAAATAAGGGACCAGGGGAAAAATATAATAAATCAAAAAACAAAATTAACAGGCAACTATCAATCAGAGGCACTGCAGGGGAACGGGCGGGGTTCGTACACCGGGGACTATGTGGTGGCATGCGGGTGAACTGGTGGTGGGAATTTTGCAGGGACTACACCTGAGAAGAGAAACTACGCAGTGCACAAAAAGGGAAAATAAAATACATATAAAACAAAAAAATGTTTTAAGTTCCAATAGGTTAGCGCGAGAGCTGCTCGACGCCCGCCAGTTCGCGAGCGTCCACCTCGGCGTGCAAGTGCCGCGCCCTGTACCTGTGCGGCGCCGCCAGGCCCAGCGCAGCTGCCCGCCAGGCCCAATCAGGCCGCCGGCACTGGGCAAGCGCCCGTCAGCGCTTCTCCCACTTCCCAGTGATGGACGAGCATCTGCCCCTCCCACCCAACCAAGCATTTCTCAGTTCTGATCCCTCAGCCCACCTCGTTTTTTAGCAGAACAAGCAGGACACCAACAAGCGGGACACCCACCTCACCCTCAGCCCAAGTCGACCTGCCCTCTGCCATCTTCCAAGCCTTCTCCCATTAGGCCCATCCCAACAAAGGAGCTCCTCCCGTCGAAGGTCAAGCCCTCCGAGACCCTTCTCGAGACCCTTCTCGGGAATTCCTCTCTCCATCCTCCTCACATCTCCATCCAGACTGTGTTATACTCGGAAGGCATTTACACAAGCGCAAGTCTCCCAGCTTAAAACAACCCTCCCTCCACCCCACTGGCCTCTACTAATGCCTTCCCTTCCCATTTCTTCTCACAAGAGTTGCCTACAAACTCGTCCTCTACCTACTCACTACCTCCTCGAGGCATTTAACAGGGCTTTCCTCTCACGTCCTACCAACTCTCCAAGTCAGAGCCAACAACCTCCTACCCCCCAAATCCGGAGGACTATTCTTAAAATGTCTCATGAGCACAGTAAACTCGCGCCATGCTCTGACCTCTCCTTACCTTCCTGAAACAACTCTTGGCTTCAGTAACATCGTCCTCTCTTCATATTCTCAGCCACTTTCGGTAGATTAATAATGACAACTCAGCAGTGTACAACTACAGACTTCACATTTCCACAAACAGTACATTCATTTACTGTTATGAATGGATGAGTCATTTGACCTGTAGTACCCCTTACGTTTACTGGATGGGTATCATTTCAGCGATGAGAAAAAAGTTCCATGTCAAAGTATTTTGTTAAAAGTCACAGGAATGGTCAACATCAGCATTCCAATCCATCTTTCAGCTTTATGGCCCAGGTTCTTTTCAATACTGCCATCATATGAACAGTTCAAAGCATACAAGTACCACACCACAGCTAAGAAAAAAATGAAGACATAACTGATTATCTTGCAGAAAGGTTAAGACACCAGCAATGTGTAATACCACCTCTGAAGAAGAAAAAACCACCACCAAAGGTTGGCGAACATCTCTCAGACCCCAGTTCATACACAATCTTGAGCATCTACTCAGTTGTCCATTCTTAACATTTCCAAAACTCAAATGGTCTCCTAACAGCAGACATCCGGTGAACACTTAAACATATTAGCTTCAGTAGTTCATCAACTGCTGCTATAAACAACATGTGTAAGTCATTTCTCTCCCTTCTAAAGAAAAAGTCAGCAGCTGTTTGCTAAAAAAAAAAAAATTTTTATTGTGGATGAAACACTGCCAACTTACATATATCATTTTTATTTGGAAGGTTTTTTTTTTCCTATTCCTTGCGGCGCTCCTGAGAAATACAGAAATGCGTTGACTTCAGCTCTATAAAAGACAGCCCATTATTAAGTTTGGTTTGTAAATTTCCCACACATAGATTCAATTTGTCAATTTTAAGTAAAGAATCCTCAGTAAGTTGAAAAGTAAAAACTGGCAAATAATCACCAATGTCAGAACTTAGAATTAAAAGTGCATTATTTTTTCCATAGGAATATCACTTAATATTTACAAAATTATTAATATTTACAAAATGAATGTACAAGATGAATTTTTGTTGTTATTTTAAATACTTTGATATGAAAAATATTAGCTTTAAAAGTCAATGCTCTGAGCTTGATGGGCAATAATCACTTTCTCAGTAATTTTCACCACTTCCATTCTGAAGACAAACCTGATTTCCTACCTACTGACTGGATAAGCACTGAGTCTTCCCCTCCCTTCAATTAACCATTAAAAGGTTGAAAAATAAACTGAAGTTATTATTTGGGGGAATGTTTACTATTTTAGTTATTTGGTTTATTAAAGTCATGCTTTCCCCACGTATATTGTTGCTTAAATTTTGCTTTTATCTCCCCCCCCCCCTTTTAAACCAATGACAGGGACAAAAACACAACCACATGATAAGATACTACACCAACATCAAATTCAATGGCTGGATTTTCTATCACATAGAGTGGCTGAGAACCATTAGGAATGTCGTGAAAGGCTGTGGCACTAAGGCAGAATTCAGCCAGATTCTAGTAAGTTTATTGAGCAGTAAACAGCAGAATGACCGTAGTAAATACTGCAGTAAATTCTGTTGGTGATGTCCCCCTGCTAACGTTACTGTGTCAGATATGCTTCCGCTGGGAACCGTCACCAAGAAAATCCCTTGAGCAGATGGTTCACCTGATACAACTTAAGTCTCAAAAACGCAGATGTTTGTTTTTTAGATCAACCAACACTAGTATGCAAACTAGTCGGCTCTATCTCGATGGCGGTAAAACTGAGACGTGAGGCTTGGGGCCAGGGCACGTACTCATTTAAACAGCAGCCCGGAAGGTCACATGCTGTTTGGATTCACAATACACCCATAACAGCTTTCACACTTCCATTAATCTACAGGAGGAGGAGGAGGGACAGACTGTTCTGAGCAGGAAAAGAAAAACTCAAGATGTCATAAAAAGTAATTAAAATATGATGATATGAAAGTTACATGCCCACCATGCATTTCCTTTCGCAAAATTGTAAGAGAAAAATTTTTTGGCATGTTTTGCTTCTTCAAAATGAAGGATCATGCGTCTCTTATTTTTAAGCTTAGGAACTTCTTTTTCAGATGCTCCCACACCGAAATGTAACTTCAACGGCAAGCAGCAAATAATTTAGGCTGATCAATGAAAGTATCTTTGAAAGGATCATATAAAAATCTCTAAGTAATGATTTCATAGAGAAATAATAAGGACAAAATGTAGACAAGAGGCAGGTTGGCAGTTCTAATATAGAACTTGTACAACTTCCTCTAAAAGGTATTAAATACAGAGTGGCAACATAAATAAATTAACCAAGGGGAGGTGATGTTTTGAGGCAGCAATGTCTCAGTTCCAAAATTCTTCAGAAAAACAAGTTTTATCCACCAACACATCAAGACATCCAATTTTCTAAATACAGTAGAAAATCCACAGTCACTCACAGCAAAATTCACAGAGAACCAAATTTACCCTTGGCAGAGCCAGGCCTATTTACACATTTGGATTAGTGTCATTTTCACCTTTCTCTGTTATAAAGATGTTTCTATTTTAATAAAGGCATACTGAAATTCACAAAATTTTAAGAACTGTCTTTAAATGTGTATCTTCAACAACGAATCAATCATGAGCATCCCAATATAATTAAATTACAAGTTAATTTTTTATGACAGGTTGATAAAAAACTAAAGTGCTGTCCTTAGTATCAAATGCCTGGTGCTGGTGCTGCTGAAGTGACTTCACGGCTCCAGTGACCACGACGAGAATGATGCTCCTGGGTTAATGGAACTCTCACAGCTCAGACAGAGGCAGGCGGAGTCGTGCTTAGTGGTATTGCTACTTAGTCATAAAAACGCAGCTGTATGGTTGATTTAACACTTTCCTGTACATAAAACTTGTGCAAATGTAAGGAAACTTTGTTTAAAAATATCTTTAGAAAATACACCTCAGCTCTTAAAACAAAAGCACACCTGCACTACAAATTCAACAAAACTGCGACAAATTACCCAGACGTGCTGCAACGTGGGGAAGTGTGGTGAGTGGAACCGAGGCCGTCTCAACACAGAATGTGCTGTATGCTGCATGCGTCCACACACAGCACTCCTGAAATGTCAACATCATAAAGATGGAGGGGAGTTACTGATCGGCAGCTGTGAAGGGGCAGGTGGCTCCTGCAGGTGGCCGGAGAGCTGCCGTGATTACAGAAGGGTGTCACGGGGGACGCCGTGTGAGGACGCCGCTTGGCATCTGGACTATGGTGGACGCACGAGCCTGCTCATGTGATCACAGTGCACAGAAACAGACACACACCAGCCCACGCCGGGTCTCCCGCTCCTGCAACCTCCACCGAGGCCTCCACAGGTGACCAATTCCTGCTTCAAGTCAATTTTCTTCAGTATGCACAGAAGCCACTACAATTATTTTCTTTTCTGTAAATCTCTATTCTCTTTAAACCAAACCATGTTTCTAGCTTAAGTGAGCTTGAAAATCAGAGAAGGAACTAAAGAGCTAATATATTGTTACTGTATTTTGCTTTTATTTTACTTATTTTGTAAATTAAGATAGATGACCAAATGCTTCTCTAGCTTAAATTAGATCAAATCCAAGGGGGAGGGGGATGGAAGCAGGTACTATAGCAACTGCTTCCTCCCATGATACCTGCAATTTTTACAAGTCCTAAGAATACTTTATATTAGAGAATATACAATGCGACAAACATGACTCTTCCCAAAAGGCCACTTTGTGATAAAGTTTATACACATAGTGTTTGTGGGTTTCCATAAAGTGCTCTGTATGTCATCTCTGGCTTCAGAATCACCTATTGCTTTAAAAGGTCTTTCAACACCACACCAGCACTGTTGTCAGGTGACACTGGCAAGGGTGTAAACGTGGGCAACACATCTGAGATGGGTTTCAAAAGAAGATGACCAGGCCCACCAGGTCCATGTCCAGCGGGGTGAATAAGAGGCACAGCTGCAGAACGGGGAGCCAGGAATGGGCTCACATCTGTCCTTCTACCAGTCCTGGATTCTGTTGTATCTAAATGATAAAATATGAATCATTTAGTCTACTAACCTTCACAAAGAAGTCAGATAGAAACACGCTTTGCATATAAATAACAGTATAATATTCACGAATAATCAATTAACTACCACTGGCAAATGTGAAAGCCTGCCTTGCTGGTCATCACACCATGGGATCGGGTGCATACCTGGAGTGCTGTCAGTCATTCAAAACAAAGGCACAAGTAGACACTGGTCACTAAATACAAATAAATGCTAATACATATTGCTGAAATCTGATCAAAGTTCACTCCCAGTAATTCGAAACATTTTCAGTTAAAAAAAAAAACAAAAACACTGTATATGTGCTTTAGGTTCCCAGATTTGGCCCCAAATAAATAAATCTTCAGTTCACAAGCTGCTCTACTGTGGATCTGACAGGCAGGGTTTATGAGAAGAGAAAGAGGACAAAGCAGTAAGAAAGGAAGGTATTTGTATAGATATACTTTATCAAATATATTAATAACTGCTGTTTTAGGCTTAGATACCAGTTATATAAAATTGAAAACTTCACTTATTATAGTAACTTAAAAAGGTACTTTTCATGTTACATGATAAACATAACTATTTGTCTGAAAGAAGGATGTGAGAAACTGTTTTCTCCAAATAACTATGACAGCCATTGGGAAAAAAAACCAGGCCCCTATATTACAGTAACAATCAGTGTAACACTGGTTTACCAAAATAAGAAACATAAATGCATTGCATATCTAATCATCTTTGAGACATTCAAATTTTGCAAACAATGCTCAATTGTTTCTCTGTAAAGTTAGGTTAAACAATGTTTTTATTGGAATAGGCATTTAGCTTACGCCCTAATGTCTTACTGAATAGAACTCTGCTTTATTACCCAAGACCACTAACAACTTCATTGTTAATACACAAGGAACCCTACCAAGGCACCCACTTCAGCTATGGGAAACTCAAACAAAAGAGGCCTCTACAACAAAGCAGGCGCTGAGGTAAATCCATAGATTGCACTTATCCTGGAACACCCTCGGGCCCCCAAGCTGTACTTTGCTGTGAGTGACAATTTTCCAAACTCTGAAAAAGCTTCTAGTAGTACTTAATAAGCTCTGACTCTCATCTTCAAATCCAGGATTAAAGAGCAAGCCTGCTATTTTCAGGCAAATACCTGCCAAATCAGACCATCACTGGCCTTCCTCTCTGATCAATGCAACAAAAGGTAGCAGTGCAGTGGATTGGGGGGGGGGGGGTTGTCATCCCTGGAGAGAGGGGAGGGGGGAGGGGGAATAAGGAGGGGAGAGTAAGAGGGGGGGTGGTCAATGTTGCCTTAGCAAATCTTGATGTAGATCTCAAGATTCTACAAACTAAAGTAACAAGAAAGAAGTGTTTGTAGTATAGTCTATTAGGTGAAGCTAAAACTTTCAATAAACTTAACATCAAACCTGTTATCTAAACAATAAATAAACTTTACTATCTTCTATAAAAGTTTAGTGAAAGGGAATCATACCAGGAGTATAAAGGACCAGGGAGAAAATAATAATAATAATGAACAACTATATACCAGAGACATTTTACGGGGGGTGGAGTGGAGAATGGGATCAAAAATGGGGGGTCAGGTGGGGTAGTGCACTGGACTATGGTGGTGGCACAGGGATGATCTGGTGGTGGGAAGCCCATGGGTATTACAACTGAGATGGAAAAAGGCACAAAATGATGTAAAAATAACTGTTATTAAAAAAAAAAAAGTTTAGTGAAAGGGGTCTCCCCGGTAGCCTAAGGGTCAAGTCTCAGCACTGTGACTGCTGCTATGGCCTGAGCTGGGTTCCACACATGGCGCAGCTGCTGTCTTGTGGGCTGCTCCCTTTAGAGTAGATTTTAGGGAATCTGCCTGTTCTGCTCCCCACTTTGTCCACTTTGTCTCTAGTGAACCCTTACACTTCTAGCCTACACCCCAGTTCTTCTATGCATAAATAAATCTTAAAAGAAAAAAACCCTCGTGAGTTAGAAAACCATGTCCACACATCATAGAACCACTAAAGCACTTACTTACTGGCAGGCTTTCAACAGAAGCGAAAATGCCTTACAACATTCTTGGACTACCGAGGCAGTTCACTAAACCAACTCTGATAAGCACCACCGGTGAGAAAGGAAAGTAGTGGCCAAAGGCTCATCAGGTCATCACCCTTTCCCCAAGAATAATTCAAAAGTGACTGGTGAAGAAAGGAATTCTTCTGATATATAAAGGGAAAGTATTTCATGCTATTTAATCTAAACCAATTAAGTATCAGGTTGCTAAAAAAAAAAAATATATAGGAAGTAAAAAGTCAATGCTTTATCAGAATTTTGTAACAAATCATTAGCTATTTTCAATAACACTAAAAACCAAGTTAATAACATTGTAAAATAATCATAAATTAAACACTCCATTTTAAATTGCAGGAAAAAATTTCTGATTTTACCTTTAAAACTCTCTGGTATACTTGTATCTAGTTTTCTCCTTCCCGGTGAATCTAGAGGTTTCAGATCATGAACAGAGAGCTTTGGTGGTGGAATAGATGGATGAGATTCTGTTTCCAGAAATTTAACAAAAAGTTCTGAAAAGGACTAAATAAGGAAAAATAATTGGTCATATTAAAACTAGATTTCTTACAGCTTAGAAATTTTACCAGTTATTCACTGAATATGAAAAACTACTTCCTTATAAATAACTTTTATGATCAGTTAAAGCACCAGAGCTTCAGCTACAAGGGGCATCAGCCACAAAATGTTAATTTAATCAAAAATTGTTAATGACATACGGAGAACTGATGAAACTCAACAAAAATGAAGTAAACAACCCCATCAAAAAATGGGAGGTAGAGCTAAAAAGACACTTCTCCAAAGAGGAAATGCAGATGGCCAACAGGCATATGAAAAAATGT